CACACAAGATAAGAAGCTACTGCTGCTGCTGCTAGTACCACATTAACATGATCATTAAGGAATCTGATTAAGCAAAAACTGGGTTAGTTTGATCAGGGTGGTACTGCTGGTACAGCAATCCTGTTCTCTGGGGATTTTTTTTTTGATTAAGCCCCACGCAACCGATGGGTGTATGGATGGATGGATCCCATAACTGCCGTTTCTAAATTTCGATAACTGCCAGTTGGTTCTAGTAGTACGCCAATAAAGAATCCATGGAGCAAATACGGCTAGATTAGCTGTGGCTAAAACTTGTGTGCGCATATATAGCCACGCGTGGACGTGGTGGTGGGGCAGGCACAGGAGGACGCACCGAGGCGGCAGCGGGACGAACTGACAGGCCAGCCTGGTCAAGCCCGGCCCGGCCATACGACCCTCCCCTCGCGCCGTGCGTGCCCGCCACACCCACACTAGCGCCTGGCTCCCGTGCGCTGGCATGGCAGATGGACGGCACTACCCCGGCCGGATGAGTTGAGATCCGCCGCGGCCTCCTCCGGATTGCTTCCATTTGGCGCGCACCGGAGGAACAGTGGGCGGAAAGAGGCTTTGGATTGGTTGGCGCGGCTCTGGTTTGATTTTCCGGAAGGGAAATGTACTTCTGTCTACGTGTTCGTGGGAGGGGGGATTTGGGTGGTTGTAATAAGGAAGGAGACAAATTTTGTTCTTGTTTAAGATTAATTTTCCCTTTTCCTTGTGATGGCCGATGGATGGGTGGATCACTCACCTCGAGGATGTGCGGGCCGCGGCGGTCCCAGCGAGGCAATGTTGCAGTTGGCGCGCCGCCCGGTGATCATCGGGTTCGGGTCCTGCACCGCCCGACGCGCCGCCTCCGCCTCCCGGAACGTCACCTGTTGCGCCATGCACCGATCGATCTCGTTAGGCGCGAGGGGAGCAAGAATTTTTACAGCACGCCGCATGAGTGCGCGCGCGGACAGGCCGAGGAAAGAGGAGCAGGGGAGCGCGCGGCTTACGAATCCGTAGCCCTTGGAGCGGCTGGTGAGGCGGTCCGTGATGACGACGGCCTCCAGGATGTCGCCGTACTGCTCGAAGTGCTGCCGGAGGCCCTCCGACGGCGTCTCCCACGCCAGCCCGCCCACGAACACCTTCGTCTGCGTCGTGTCGCCGAACCGCGACCGGTACGAGGACGCCGTCGACGACGACGCCGCCATCACGCCCGTCCGCCCGCCCGCCCTGCTCCGAGTCGTCGCAAGAAGGAGGCTTGCCGGCGTTGAGTGTCGACCAGCGATCTTGCTAGCCCTTGGTGAACTACCTTGCGAGCTACGGTCGAACTGGTTGGTTGATTCCGGCGCGCCGCCGCAGCCGCCTCAGTGCGCGCGCTCTTGCTGTGATGTGTATGGCTGCCTAGGCAGTGGCGGAGCGCACTGCCATATAGTATAAACCTAGCTCGCTGTGATGTGCTGGCTTAATGATCAGAAGCGGTGGAGGGGGATTCTGATCAGGCGGCAGTTGCAATTGGGGTGGCCGGTGGAGATGGGGAGAAGAGGGGGAGGAGGTTCAGTGGGGAGGGAGGAGAGACAGGCAGGCGCAAGGGGTTGTGCGCTGGAAGAGACGGTTAGGGTGGGGTGACAGCTATGTGCAGCCTTTTATACTGTTCCTTTTTCTCCCTTTTCCTTCCCTTATGGGCGCCTTCTCTATTTTTGTTGCTCAAACCCACACCTCATTTGATTTCAGAGAGAAATCCCATATTTCCATTTAACTGAAAGAGAACAACTCTAGTGTGTCATTTTCACAAGACAAAAAAAAAGTGCATTCCCTTTGCGAAGAACTCACACACTTGAAATGGGTGCCTCGGCGTAGCCCTGCGAGGAAGTGGTGATTTGATAGAAAAGAGGGTAGCCCGGGCAAGGTTGGCGACAAAAGCAAAGCGCGACGAAGAAGCACAACGCTCCTCCCCTCTCCGGCGTGTTTTTGCTACTGCTAGAAGATGGATGGCAACACGTGTCATAGGAAATGAATGGAGAGGCAACAGGGAGGTGGAGTCCAGGCCAAGACCTTTGCGCCGCACATACAGAGAAAGAGAGAGAGTGCACGGATCGCGTGCAATGCATCTTTTGCCTCGTTGATTTCACTAAACAGTGGGCCCCACCCCTGTTCAGCGTGTTTTTGCTACTGCTAGAAGATGGCTGGTAGAGAATGCCTGAAACACGTGTCATAGGAAATGAATGGAGAGGCGACGGGGAGGTGGGTCCAGGCCAAGACCTCTGCGCCGCACATAGAGGGAAAGTGCACGGATAGCGTGCAATGCATCTTTTGCCTCGTTGATTTCACTAAACAGTGGACCCCCACCCCCCTGTTAGGAGTGCTTTTGCTACTGCTGGAAGATGGATGACAAAGAATGCCTGAAAAATGTGTCATAGGAAATGAATGGAGAGGCGACGGGAAGGTGGGATCCAGGCCAAGGCCTCTGCGCCGCACATAGTGGGAGAGTGCACGGATCGCATACAATGCATCTTTTGCCTCGTTGATTTCACTAAATAGTGGACCTATAATTACACTAGTCAACTTTCACCGGGGAGATGCACATGTACCTAGTACACTATTTAACGAAGTAAAACAATGAGTTTTGCC